TCATCGTGGGGAAATGTGAGGTGTGTATGGATGTTTGGTTGATTGTGTTGTATAGAGTGATGGTTTACTTGCCAGTTTTAGTGAGAGATTTGAATATACTTGTAATGAGTTGATGTACTTGATATGTTGGGTGAGTGTTTTGACGCGTGTGCTGTGCTGTGTTGTGTTGTTTTGTGTGGTGAGTTTGGCTGTTAGATGTGTGTAGTGTCAGTTGAGAGTGGCTTGATTGACTGTGAATGAGGAGTCCTGTGTGTGTGTGTGTTTATTGAGGCTGATAATTATTGTATAACGGGTGTTTGTTGTTGATAGATGATGTGTATGTATTGTGAATGTTAGGCCGATTATAATAGCGAACTTAGTTGTAGTCTACTGAATTTGTGTGCATAGTAGTATATGTAGTGTGGTCTTTGGTAATTTGAAATTGATGTGTACGTGTGTGTTTGTGATTTCGATGATGTTTGATGATTGTGATAGGTGTGATGCAATGTAATGTTTGATATGAGATAGTTGTGATGTGGTGATAGAATGTGCATGTGTATGCTGCTGGAAATAGTTTGCAAATAGTGGAATGAGAGTAAGGTGTTTGAATTTAATAGGCCAGGGTGTGTCGAACAGCGTGATTAAACTTACTTGGCGCCGGGACCAGGGTGATCACGAATGCCCTGGCCCCAGGTGGAGGCTCGCCTTTGCACTTCGGCGTGTTGAAGCCTGCGACGATCCCTAATCGGGCTCGCTCGGACGCGTAGTTTTTGCTAGTGGGGAGGTCTTCGGATCATCCCTTTAATTAATCAAAAAAGTTATCTATCTAGCCATCTATCATGGTAAATCTGAAAACACCCATATCCGCTTAGCCCTCTCTCATCTACTCCTCTTCATCCATTCATCACTCCTAATCTACCTATCACACACATGCAGACGCCCTCGCACACACACACACACACTCACTCACTCACTCACACATCCGATGAGACATTCACACGGACACTGACACTCTTCAAATCGCATTCTCATTCTCACTCTCAGACACTACCTTCCAAACACAATCACATTCATCATCACCATTACCACCACCATCATACTCATGATCATCCGAATTAGAACAACACTGAAACCCTATGCCCACCGTCACCATATCCATCATCATCACCACCGGTGGCGGAAGCAGCAACATCACAATCACCATGACTGACAATCTCACTCGCCCCCATGCCTCCTTCTCTTGTGTCTCCTGAAATGCTAATTACACTGGTATCCATGGTGTCATTGAATGAATTACTCAACAAGCCCCTGATTACACTACGACTCGTCAACAAGGTATCAGTCAATTGATCGCTCATGCAAGACGTACATGCAGACACTAGGTAGTAGAGGTGGGTATTCGTTCAACGATTTGACGACTTTCGGGGTTAGTGTGAAGATAGAGATGGTTGGTTTCTGGAATCCACATGCTTTTCTATTGTGTACGTGTTCGTGTCTGTGTTTGTGTGTTGCTGGTGGAGGATAGTGGAATAGTTGTGTAGTTGCATATTCGATGTTGTTAAGTGTGATGACGGTGTGTGTTTACAGTGCCAGAGGATGAGGAGATGATTGACCTGTGATAATTGTGTGTGTGTGTGTATGTGTGTGTGTGAATATATTCATCGTGGGGAAATGTGAGGTGTGTATGGATGTTTGGTTGATTGTGTTGTATAGAGTGATGGTTTACTTGCCAGTTTTAGTGAGAGATTTGAATATACTTGTAATGAGTTGATGTACTTGATATGTTGGGTGAGTGTTTTGACGCGTGTGCTGTGCTGTGTTGTGTTGTTTTGTGTGGTGAGTTTGGTTGTTAGATGTGTGTAGTGTCAGTTGAGAGTGGCTTGATTGACTGTGAATGAGGAGTCCTGTGTGTGTGTGTGTGTTATTGAGGCTGATAATTATTGTATAACGGGTGTTTGTTGTTGATAGATGATGTGTATGTATTGTGAATGTTAGGCCGATTATAATAGCGAACTTAGTTGTAGTCTACTGAATTTGTGTGCATAGTAGTATATGTAGTGTGGTCTTTGGTAATTTGAAATTGATGTGTACGTGTGTGTTTGTGATTTCGATGATGTTTGATGATTGTGATAGGTGTGATGCAATGTAATGTTTGATATGAGATAGTTGTGATGTGGTGATAGAATGTGCATGTGTATGCTGCTGGAAATAGTTTGCAAATAGTGGAATGAGAGTAAGGTGTTTGAATTTAATAGGCCAGGGTGTGTCGAACAGCGTGATTAAACTTACTTGGCGCCGGGACCAGGGTGATCACGAATGCCCTGGCCCCAGGTGGAGGCTCGCCTTTGCACTTCGGCGTGTTGAAGCCTGCGACGATCCCTAATCGGGCTCGCTCGGACGCGTAGTTTTTGCTAGTGGGGAGGTCTTCGGATCATCCCTTTAATTAATCAAAAAAGTTATCTATCTAGCCATCTATCATGGTAAATCTGAAAACACCCATATCCGCTTAGCCCTCTCTCATCTACTCCTCTTCATCCATTCATCACTCCTAATCTACCTATCACACACATGCAGACGCCCTCGCACACACACACACACACTCACTCACTCACTCACACATCCGATGAGACATTCACACGGACACTGACACTCTTCAAATCGCATTCTCATTCTCACTCTCAGACACTACCTTCCAAACACAATCACATTCATCATCACCATTACCACCACCATCATACTCATGATCATCCGAATTAGAACAACACTGAAACCCTATGCCCACCGTCACCATATCCATCATCATCACCACCGGTGGCGGAAGCAGCAACATCACAATCACCATGACTGACAATCTCACTCGCCCCCATGCCTCCTTCTCTTGTGTCTCCTGAAATGCTAATTACACTGGTATCCATGGTGTCATTGAATGAATTACTCAACAAGCCCCTGATTACACTACGACTCGTCAACAAGGTATCAGTCAATTGATCGCTCATGCAAGACGTACATGCAGACACTAGGTAGTAGAGGTGGGTATTCGTTCAACGATTTGACGACTTTCGGGGTTAGTGTGAAGATAGAGATGGTTGGTTTCTGGAATCCACATGCTTTTCTATTGTGTACGTGTTCGTGTCTGTGTTTGTGTGTTGCTGGTGGAGGATAGTGGAATAGTTGTGTAGTTGCATATTCGATGTTGTTAAGTGTGATGACGGTGTGTGTTTACAGTGCCAGAGGATGAGGAGATGATTGACCTATGATAATTGTGTGTGTGTGTGTATGTGTGTGTGTGAATATATTCATCGTGGGGAAATGTGAGGTGTGTATGGATGTTTGGTTGATTGTGTTGTATAGAGTGATGGTTTACTTGCCAGTTTTAGTGAGAGATTTGAATATACTTGTAATGAGTTGATGTACTTGATATGTTGGGTGAGTGTTTTGACGCGTGTGCTGTGCTGTGTTGTGTTGTTTTGTGTGGTGAGTTTGGCTGTTAGATGTGTGTAGTGTCAGTTGAGAGTGGCTTGATTGACTGTGAATGAGGAGTCCTGTGTGTGTGTGTGTGTGTGTGTGTATTGAGGCTGATAATTATTGTATAACGGGTGTTTGTTGTTGATAGATGATGTGTATGTATTGTGAATGTTAGGCCGATTATAATAGCGAACTTAGTTGTAGTCTACTGAATTTGTGTGCATAGTAGTATATGTAGTGTGGTCTTTGGTAATTTGAAATTGATGTGTACGTGTGTGTTTGTGATTTCGATGATGTTTGATGATTGTGATAGGTGTGATGCAATGTAATGTTTGATATGAGATAGTTGTGATGTGGTGATAGAATGTGCATGTGTATGCTGCTGGAAATAGTTTGCAAATAGTGGAATGAGAGTAAGGTGTTTGAATTTAATAGGCCAGGGTGTGTCGAACAGCGTGATTAAACTTACTTGGCGCCGGGACCAGGGTGATCACGAATGCCCTGGCCCCAGGTGGAGGCTCGCCTTTGCACTTCGGCGTGTTGAAGCCTGCGACGATCCCTAATCGGGCTCGCTCGGACGCGTAGTTTTTGCTAGTGGGGAGGTCTTCGGATCATCCCTTTAATTAATCAAAAAAGTTATCTATCTAGCCATCTATCATGGTAAATCTGAAAACACCCATATCCGCTTAGCCCTCTCTCATCTACTCCTCTTCATCCATTCATCACTCCTAATCTACCTATCACACACATGCAGACGCCCTCGCACACACACACACACACTCACTCACTCACTCACACATCCGATGAGACATTCACACGGACACTGACACTCTTCAAATCGCATTCTCATTCTCACTCTCAGGCACTACCTTCCAAACACAATCACATTCATCATCACCATTACCACCACCATCATACTCATGATCATCCGAATTAGAACAACACTGAAACCCTATGCCCACCGTCACCATATCCATCATCATCACCACCGGTGGCGGAAGCAGCAACATCACAATCACCATGACTGACAATCTCACTCACCCCCGTGCTTCCTTCTCTTGTGTCTCCTGAAATGCTAATTTCATTGATATCTATGTTGTCTCGGACGGAATATCCGGTTTCTTCTTTGGCCTTCCTTGCCTTATTTCTCTTTTCGCTGGTGAATATGTTTTTTTTTTCGGTTTAATTTTTTTCCTTGTCGGTTATTTTTGGGCCGATATTTTTTTTTCTGTTTTTTTTAAGGTTTATTTTTGTTCCGAATCTTTTTGTTTATCCCGTTGTGTCTGTATTCTTTGAGTTTGTTTTTCGTCGAATATTTTCCGTTCTAGGATTTTTGGTTGATATATTCCTCATGGTTTCGTTTTTATATTACCTTTTCATTTAATAATTTTCGGACTTTTTGTTCGGTTTTCTGTCCCTATGGTACTCTCTGTTTTCGCTTTTGTTGTTTATTCAAGGCTGTTTCTTGAGTGTTGACGATTATTCTACATTGTCGTAATCTTTGTCTATGAAATTCTTATTTAACGCTTTGTTTTTGGTTTTAATACATCTCTCAGATACACTGTGAAGTCACGTATGATGCTGATTCATGCCGATATACTTTAGTAAATAGATGTCCGAATTGTGGAACTTCGATAAATGGAGTAACATTGGAAAAGGTATATTATGTTATAAAAACAGTAGTTGTTACATTCGTTTATTTATATTCATTTTGTGATAGTGTTTTAAAGAATCTATGTATCGAAGTGTTTTTCATTGACTGAATAGTTTGTTTTTATTACGGCTTACAATGTCTTTTAACCTGTCTAAGGTAACTTAATATCTTGATTATCCGAATGGCGCATAATTCCAATATACTGTGCTGTAATTATTTACTCAGTAACTCATTTCTTCAAATAGGGAAGTGTTATATGTACGAATTTTGAGTTACAGGAGCTACTGTCTTGTGATAAAGGTTTCGATTGTTGTTTATTGATATGGGTACTTTCTCATTGTTTTAGGTAGGAGAAAAGTCTATCCTTAATTCCTACTTAAAAACGAATATCACGTCAAGATGAAATTGAGTGCTATGTTGAAATTCCATCTGGAGGAGGTGATAGACGTAAAATACACAAGAGTAATACATTACAGTTATCAAAAAACTAAAAGTGATACCCTTTGCATAATCTAGGCTTTTGTGATTCGGTTATGTGGTGGATAATGCTGTAGCTTTTGAACTACCGGGAGGTGAACTATAGCACTAGTTATATAACCATCACTCGTTTGGATTTATCGCCATTATTACGAATTCTGAACAGCACGAAACAAAAGGATGGATAAGTACCGAAATTCGCTGAAATACTTACAGACTTCTAAAAACACTCCTGAATGATTTTTATGTCCCACTAATGTAGTATTAAATTTTTTGACAAAATATTTGACATTTTTATCCTGTTTCTTAAATACACATGGTACTGCCGGTGTGATAAATATTTCGTCTTATCATGCACAAACTTTTGTAGAATAAATCAGCAATATTGTGTCATGGTGATGTTGTAAGACTGGGATCAACTCGTCTATTAGTTCACATACACAATGGTAATGAAACATGTGGACAGTGTGATCCAGAAGAAATTAAAGCTGCCTTAGCTGCAATAGTTGATGTGAATGAAACAAGAGAATGTGAAAATCCAAATGATAGTCAAAGTGAACATAATGAATCTGCAACTTTATCAAGTAAGCTATTTAATTGTACACCTTCAATATAAACTTTAAAGTTTTACATTGTTCCAATTGTGCCTAGATGGTCTAATGGATAATTCTATGTATCAGTGGTTCAGTGTTAGAATGCTCGTCAGCCACACCTGAGGTTTAAGTTCGATTCTTTGTCGATGCACCCTTGAACTCTGTCTAGTTTACTAACTGGTAATAAGCTCCATGAAGAGGGAAGGTTGAACTTGAGGGTAGTTACTCCCTCCATCCCGTAAAAGTATAATACCATCGCGACTATAACTTCAAAACTTGAGGTCTTATAATCTCAGAACGCGAAATGATGAAAAAGTATCAGACCTCTGTAGAAAGTTGGCTGTATACTTTAAGTATAGATTTCAGTGCTTATAACATTTAAAAGGTATCACGATAAAATAAAACATCTTTAAAGATTAATGCAGTTCATCTGATCAGTCTGATTGTCGACTGAGATTACCAATCACCTGAGGTGTATTCTAGTATCTTGACTATTAATTCATGTAAACTTCTCAATCTGTATAATTAATTTATTATAGCTTTTGAGAAATCTAGCTGAAATAATTGACTAAAGCTTTTATATTCTTTACAGATTTTCATATGGTACGTCTTGATATAGTCAACAAAAATGTTTCCTATTCAACGTTCTAGATGTTATCATCTTCTAAAGTATTTCATGAGCAAATAGCTCGACCTAAGCAAAAATACGAGATGAACTGTTACCGTATTGTTGAACAGTATTTACATATATATTGTTGGTACTAGATGGTTGGAGGCAATCGGCAAGAAGCCCCGAACCTAGGTTTCGTGCTAGTTGGCACTCATCAGCAAGGCGTATCTGCAACCTTGAAGGAACTCATGTCCCTTCTGAGATTCGAACCCGCATCACCCAGTGCTGCAGTCAGAGACGTTACCACTGAGCTATTCAGGCTCGCGACTGCCCTCCTGTAGGACTGTATTGGATATTTTTGATTGAACACTAGTCAGTAACTAGTGTAATGTGTCTAGTCCTATCTTCGGTGCAGACTGAATTCTATCAGTCATGTTGAGTGATGATGAGTGCCAACTAGCACGAAACCTAGGTTCAGGGCTTCCTGCCGATTGCCTCCAACCATCTAGTACCAACAATTCACAGTGCACCGTAATGGCGAGCCACCTAGCATGGTGGCCACATTGCAAACATGACTAGACACATTACACTAGTTACTGACTTGTGTTCAATCAAATATACATATATATATATATATATATATATATATTCAGTACTTCAAAATAAATGAGAGAACAAATAATCCGAATCCGAATCAGTTCTAGATTAAGAGATTTATGCATAAGCATTTAAGTAGCCATCGAAGGTTTGTTTATCCTATGCTGTTCACAATTACCTACATATGAAATAGAATTAGTAAGTTCAGTGGGTGTTGATGCTGGCAGAGGTAGCAGAATTTAGTACAGAGAAGTGTTTCATCAAATAGTCTATGTAATCAATTGACCAACAAGATAGCTATCCACAATCTTTTACAAAAGCTTAGATATATTGTTCAAGATATGTTAATCAATATTAACCTGCTGTTTAGTTTGAAAGATTTCTCAAATAGATGATAAATCACGACTAGGCATGTATACTACATGTCCAACCGAAGGAGATAACTTGCCTGTCTTAGTTAAGACCCTACAATAAACACTAGGATCCGCTAGTTGTGAATGTTTTGAAGTAGTTTAGAAGATGATTAGACAAGTGAATTTATGTCTTGTAAAACAATGTGATATTTTAAAGTGTTTGTTTCAAGTTAGATAATGAACTGACATTATTCAGAAAACTGCTGAAAACCAGAGAGTATTGGAGAGAGCTGTTACGTCCTAATGTAAAACGCGTCACCAGTACGCCCCGGGACTTTCAGGCAACCAGTCCAGTGCACTAGCTCTTCAGTCACTGGGACGAAATCCAATGGTTCATGAATTATAACATCTACCAATTTGCGATGCATAACAACACCGCCATCCAGTATTATCGGTAAGCATTTGTCGTCGACTCCACTTCATGGACCCTAGTGGTCACAACTTTTCACTCCTACAGCAGTTTACTTCAACCTGTAGTCATTCATCACTAGTTGAGCACTAGACTAGTTTTCCGGTGTTGAACGAAACAACTTTCCAGTTCTTCCTGGTTTTCAGTACTTCTCTAACTAATACCACCTGATGATGATCTAAACTGCAAGATGATATTTTCTACCTTTTTCCTTCTGAATGACTAATTCTTTTTGTAAACCTTCTCTCAAATAATATCGTCATAAATAATAACAATGACAATATGTAACCATCAGCGCATTCAATAAAAGATATAGAAAGACGAGTGAAATTGGATGAAATTAAAAAGAAATATGGATTAAAGGTTAGTTGAATATCATTTAAATTACATTATCCTCATTGATTAATAAATTTATAATCTTTTCATTTATATGTTCATTCATTCTTATATGAAATGTACTAGCCTTCTGTCCTTTTATAATTTTATAAAGGGTATAGTAATCTTAATGAAAATAAGAAACGAAGTCACAACATGACTGAAACCCAAGTACCCTTTGAATTATTAATCAATCCAGTGTTTTGTCGATGATTAGAATGAATTATCAAGTGTTGGTTTGCAAGGATTTGAATGAAGTAGCAACCTCGATGAACAGTTTGTTTCACACCAACAAAAATGAACTTGGTTTAGATATTTCCAAGTGCTGGTTTGCAAGGATTTGATCGATTGCAGGCTTGATCATGAACTGACATCAGCTGGAGGACTATTGGAGAACCTGCGAGTACTCGACAGCTTTTTCGTCTTAGTATGAGACTCTTCAACAGTACACACACACTGGGGTTCGAAACCCGAGATCTTCAAATTGCAAGGCGAGCTCTAGGAAAATTCGGCTACTTGGGCCCAATTCAATGGTCCATAAATATTTACATACGTGTACAAATTTCTTCAGTCATCGGGAGAAAAACTAGATTAAGGGGCTTACTGTATGAAAAGTATATATATTTGTTTAGACTACACGCAATTCACAAAATACTTTACTTTATTGTGATTCTATGAGGAGGTCTTCATATGGTACTATAAGTAAATCATTAGATAGCAGCTCAATGTCTTCCATATTTGAGTACCAATCACTACTTACATTCAATAGGCAAACAAGTGGAACTGATGAATATTATTGACACAGGACCTCATCCTCATGCGTTACTGTGTGAGATGATCCATTTTGCTAAACTTCACATTCGCCAATCAGAAAAAAAAGGAATGGCGGGGGAATTAAAAAAATTGCATAACCGAAAGTGAGAAACGTGGAGAAATAAAGGTAAGAACATGGTAAATTAAATAAGAAAAGGTAACGTTGTAACCAAAGTGAGTATAGAATGCGAATAAGGCTGAGTCACTGCGATAAATTCTTATCTATAACCATCTAGTGGCTGGATTCAACATAGATATCTATAACCATCTAGTGATGATGATCAACAGTCTTGATTACTTCATGAACCACAGTTGCAAAAACTGTATAGCTCAGATCAACAGGTTCACTTTCTTTTTTATTCCCATCTAATCCTGTTTTACCTAAGAATGAACCGACAATTACTGATCAGATTTTAATTTCAAACCTGTATCCAATCCAATCCCTGCACACCAACACTTGATAATTATTTTGATGCTCACTAGCGACTGGCTATAAACGGGAAGTGGCCTGGAGGTCTAGTGAGAAATTGTACCCAGCGGGATTCACCAAGTCAGGTAGGAAAACAGCCACTCGCCTATGACACTGTTTGGCAGTTGCACTATATACGTCGTGAATTAGCAGAAGTTCGAATTCATAGGCCATTGAATCAGGTCCCAGTGGTCGAATCATCTACGAGCTCGCCTTGCGACTTGAAGATCTCGGGTTCGGACCTCGGTGTGCGCGTACTGTTCAAAAGCCTCATACTAGGACGAAATAGCTGTCCAGTACTCGCAGGTTTTCCAATAGTCCTCCACCTGATGTCAGCTCATGATCAAGCCTGCAATCGATCAAATCTTTGCAAGCCAGCACTTGGAAATATCTAAACCAGGTTCATTTTTGTTGGTGTGAAACAAACTGTTCATCGAGGTCGCTACTTCATCATAAATTTTCAATACTAATTATAAAAATAAAACGGATAATTCATGCACAATTGTTCATATTATTCTGTTCCAGAATGTCCTTTGATTTTCACTCACCGATTATCCAATTTTTACCTGTGATATGTTTCCATCTTCTCGAATGCATTTCCTGTGTGTGTGTGTATATCTTAATTCTTCTTGATAATCCCTCTTCATATAACGGTTCTTCTATTTATTAATTAACTAAAATTCTTTGAAATCAGTTTACTTTATAAAACGTTGTCAACGCAGCAATTTTATATGGGTTTACTTTCTTTTACAGGTAAAATATTATGCGTGTAAAAGTGGACTATGTGTGTGTGTTTGTGTTTAGTGTTTTCACTATTACTTTTCAAATGACTTTTACTTTTTTTTGTTTCACTATTCTACACAGTTTCCACGCATGAGAACACAAGTTAAAGTTGATAATAAACAATACATTGATCGTGCCGCGCAACGTCGAGCTATTGAAGCAAACTTGAAGGCAGCTGGTTATCCTTTACCTCCTCCACCTGGTGTAATACGACAACAACATGTAGTCAATAAGTGTCCATTGATCGCTCGACCAACACCAGCCAGTGTTTATAAACCTATTGGAGATGAAAATAAGGGTGCTCAAATGTTGACTAAAATGGGTTGGACACCTGGTCAAGGATTAGGCAAGAGTAAAATTGGAATTGCAGAACCGGTAAGCCTTTTCTCTCCCTCTCTCTCAGTATATATATATTCTTTAATATGTGTCACTTGTTTCACATTGATTGTGCTTCTAATTTTTGTTTAAATGATGTTAAGGCACTTCTTTGAATCCTAAGAACTAATGGAAACCAGATATTGTGTGCCCAAAGTTTCAGTCATTTAAATGGTGTTTAAACTGGATGTGATGTCATTCCGTATGAAGTTCTCCAGCTGATTAGTACTTGTGAAAAACCTTGTCTGAGATCATTTATTTTCACAACAGTCTTGATGCTTTCAGACTTGCAAGGATGAAATTCGACAGACGCCTGATAGCTTTGTTTGAACTACAATAATATGATGTACATCGTTAATAAACAAATGTACTTTCCCTCCGATAGTGTTACAGTCCGATGGATCTCATGATCTGTCGACATTTTAAGTCTTTTAGAACTTGTGCACTGTACTAGAATACAATACTTTATTAGATATTGTACTAACTGAATGACTGTATAACACTCAGCTTTGATATACTGTATGGAGTTATATTCCAATTATTTTATCAAAAAGTTCTAGACACAGTTTTGAGCTACTTAGTAATTATCAATCAGTAAGAGCGTATCCGCTTGAGAGTGAAACCTGAATCAATCTATTTATAATTATCAGCTACTTTACTATTAAGCTATTGAAACTACAGTTGATCCTTGTAGGACTTGTTAATCGCGATAAATAGATAGATTATATGATAGACAGCTAATCAATATGATGTGACCTTCTTGTCGCGATTATTGGTTAATTTAATGTAACTCACACCACGTGACGTGACCTTGAGTGTTCTTTGTTATCTGTCACTTTATTTGTGTGTACATGTAATTAATTAATTGTTCATTTTGTCCGTTCCCTCAATACTGTTCGGTACGTTTTTGTCCTATTTTGAATGACAGTGGATTTGTATATTTTTCTTGGTGTAATTGTATGATTTATTGTATGTTTTAGAAACAGATAAAGTTGAAGTCAAGTCATTCTGTTTTTAACTATAATTAAGCCAAGACTCTGTGTCGTCAGTATTGAGGAAGGACTAAATCTGTAGGCAAAAATAATCCTACAGGACTGACTGATGCGCGTATATAACCTGAATAATAATTATTGCAACTGTACTCAACTAGTGAAAATCCTGTGAAATAAAATGAATTCGTATTATCTTGCCGAAGTTTTTCTCATGTCAATTATTGAGGTTTATAAGAGGAGCTTACCTTAACAAATGTCTTCAACTGAAGTCAAGTGAATCAGATTTTAAGTCTAGAATATATGTGTTTGCATAATTTCTGTATTATAAATTCTATTTTTGAATTTATGCTTCAGAATAATCTTTTAAATGAATGAGAAAAGCTCGTCGTTATTATTTTTTAACTTCTAATGGTTGTTTTACTGGGGGGGGGGGGCACTATATTAGTTAGTTATCGTCAAAACAAATTTACTTCCCTTTCGTTTCCGCTTATATGAATGGGTAGAATGGAGGCAGTGAATTACAATTTGAATTTCTCCCTCAGGTAATTGGTCTCACGTGATCCTGTATTACGTACCTGAAGGGATGTTGTTATCATATTAGATGTTACGTCTGGCGGCTTCCAAGGTGTTTTATCGATTTTTTTTTACACATTTGGAATATCTATTGGCGAAAATGCCTTGAGATTACCTGTTTTTCTGATGTAATATATCTGCCGAACATTGCCCGTCAATTTACATATTGTACACGTTTTGTCCGATTATTCTTTTTATTGTTTCTGTTTCCATTATTCTAGATAACTGTTAATCTCCGAGTGAATCCACAAGCTGGACTTGGTTCAAGTCATAGTAAGGCAAATGTTGTGCCTATTGATTCGACACCAAAAGAATTATCACAAGCGTATATACGTGCAAAAACCAAAGAACGTTTCGACAGTATACCATAATGAAATACTCATATGTGTATGTATGTATGATTAGAGTTCTATGCATTTATCCATTTATTAGTTTATAAATGAAATGATAAAGTTATCAGTGCTATGTGGTAATGTTAAATATCCCTTTTATGAGGTAGACTGGATTTGTTTTAATAAAACCTTGATAATTGATGAACTTCTCTGTCATTGTTCTCTTTATTCACACAATGTAATAAAGGTGAGGGTGCGGAGGTGTGTGTGGACGATATGTAGTTCAGTTCAGATTTTTACATTGTTTGACTCTAACAGTTTTATTGCTATCATGTGAATAACATTAGAACATGAATCATGATAACAGTAAAATAATCAAGGAGATAACATATACGCCATCATGGGATGGTGACTGGTTAATTGTATCTCATAGATGAATAACAGAAAGTAAGACATCTGCTTTATCTTTAAGTCATGTTTTATAAATTTTCTACAAATCGCAGACATTTTACGAAGACAAGTGAAATTGAACAGAACTACATTTTTGTATTTTGTGCAAATTAGCACTGGAAGCGGTTATTTTTTTATCCATCTGAAGTATGGTATCATAATAAGGGATGATCAGAAGTAACAACGGAAGCATGATCACTTGCAATGTTCAAACCAATGGACATGAAGTGTTTCTGTATAAGGCTTTCAGGATGTTCCCAACTTTTCAGGTGCACCTCTGTCTAATAGACAGTTCCAGAGTACAGTTCTATCCAACGAGTCGAAGGCAGCCCTGATATCAAGAAACACGACGATTGTTGGCCTGCAATACGTTTGGTGGTGTTCCAACAACTAATGAAGGGTGAACACATGATCAGTGCATCCACAGCCTGAACGAAACCCAGCTTGCTCTTCACGAAACATTCGCTCACTTGTTTTGCACAGCCTGTGAAACAGGACAGCGGCGAATTTTTTAGACGCAATAGGTAGCAGACTGATACTCCTATAGTTGGCACTGTGTTACGTCGACTCTTTTTAAAGATGATACAATTGTGGCTTTATTCCACACTTATGGTACATCCCCAGTCTCCCATACTTTCCTCAATAATCCAGTTAAAGCCATGATGAGGGATCTCGCCATCATCTTTAAAAAGAATCGGGGATAGATTGTCTGGGCCGCGTGCCCTATGGCGTTTCAGTACTTGGAGTTCCTTCCGGACCTGCGTTTCGATTGGTGGACTGGTACTGACTGACCAAGGGGCACTGGAGCTGGTGGCGAGCTGAACTGCTTCTCAAAGTGCTCTGCCAACGTTCCAGATGCTTTTTCAGGCTGCTGATTGGCGTGCCACCTGTCTCACAGACCGTCTCGCTAGTACCTTGTTCCTTGCTGCTAGTGGCTGCCATCAACTGGAACAGCTTCTGACTGTAGCCAGATGCAGCAGCTGACTCTATCTCACACGCAAGTTCTGACCATCAGGCTTCGCGGTCCTTACGTAAAAACTGTCTAATCTTGCATGTGAGCGCCTTTCGCATATTGCTGTATTCGCTGCCAGCCGTAGTGGACCAGCGTTCATCCAGGAGTTGCAAGGAACTCGCAGAAACCTAGTGCTTTTTAGCAAAGTATTCTTTTAAGCTGCAAGCGGCTACATTCACCATTTTCATGACACCTTGCAGATGAAGCCATCGTCATCTATACTACTTCGGGGGTTCCTAGCAAGCACTGACTCTAACTCATTCTGGTATTTCAAAGAGGTAGCAGGTGCTACCAGTTTGCTCACATCAACATTCAGATGACGCCATTTTTGTACTCCACCAAATCGCAAGACACACAATCGGAGTCCAGGCATGTGCTCCAGAAGGGGCGGCAGTCTTGCATGCGTCCTCGCCACCGGAAACTGACAGAGATATGATCAGTTTGAAACCAAGCTTGATTCGCAGAGAGAGGGCGCCAGGTAGCATTACGGCGATGGCTGTGCCGGAAGTTTGGGCTGGCTAGAAATAGCTCCATTATGGATAAGATTTTATTTTGATAAGTCACACAGTGTTACACAGTTATGTTAACTGACGACGTTACGAGCACAAATTATTGCTCATAATCATATCATCAAGTTACTCACACAACTTTTTCCTTCATTTATACACATGTGTGGAATTGACTAGATATTTAAATAAAAACCAATATGGGATAACGTACATTAAAAAATAATAACATGAGTGTTATTGATGAAATACAGTCAGATGGGAAAAAAGATGAATGTTTTTATAGTCATAATAAGTAACTTGTTAGAATGTTGTGATGTACTTGATTTGAAATAGAATTTTGAGATTATTTATTATCCTCCTCTGATTTGACTGGCGGTAATAATATCTTCCATATTTCTGGTATTTGCATTGAGTCATTTCTGTTGCATGTGTTGGATTTAGGGAGACTCGATGAACCAAGATGCAGTAATCAATCTCTCTCTCCACCTACCTAGATTACTTCTTAGAATCTTAACCCTCTCCTACCCTATTGTGCGTTAATGCATGCACTGCAATTGCTGAGCTTTTTTCTAAATTACTTATCTTCTCGGGGTCACCCATTCTTACCTTAGCTAAATTCTTATGTTCCGACAATCTGATTACCCCCATCTACTAGTTCGACCTATATAGTTGACCTCACAGTCATTGCAGGGTATTTTGTAAATTATATTATTTTGTTTAATTGGGTCCACAGGGACTTTTAGCATACAGAGCTTGTCTCTGCAACAGAAATGACTCAATGCAAATACCAGATATATGGAAGATATTATTACCGCCAGTCAAATCGGAGGAGGATAATAAATAATCTCAAAATTCTATTTCAAATCAAGTCGGTGGCACATTGGTTACGACTCTCGCCGACCATGCACATGGTCCGGGGTTCGATCCCCCACCGACGCACACCCGATATCTATGGTCGGCCTGCAAAATTTGGGCTACCGATATCCATGCTGTAAATGCCATACTTGTACTGAAAATACGGTGTGGCATCAAGCTGTAATCAAAAATAAATAAAAAAAATACATCACAACATTCTAACAAGTTACTTATTATGACTATAACAACCCTCGTCTTATTTCCCATCTGATTGTAATTGATCAATAATACTCATATTATCATTTCTGAATGCACACTGTTCTATATTGGTTTTTATTTAAATATCTAGTCGATTCCACACATGTATATAAATGAAGGAAAAAGTTGTGTGAGTAACTTGATATGATTATGAGCAATAATTTGTGCTCGTAACGTCATCAGTTAATATCACTGTGACTTATCAAAATAAAATCTTATCGATAATGGAGCTATACTCTACCAGTGCCCACGTTTTATACTTATCAAGAATAGCTAGAAATAGGTTGTGATCTGCGCAAAGCTGCAGAAGATGGTCCCCATTATCTGACCTACGACTATGCGAATCCCACTGACTACCTGGACGACTCTCCTCTGATCTTAGACGCCAGACCTGTGCATTCCGGTCCTTCTGACGCAACTGTTCCAGGAGATCGCTCAGTTGGTAGTGGAACTCATCCTTAATTGCATCCGGGCTGCAATCCTTCGGTGCATTAGCAAAGACAACAAATAGGTACCGCCTTTCTGACCTACCACTCCTTACTTTCGTATAACCTTCCAGCCTCAGGGCACATAGGCGACTGTCGAGTAGGCGCTTAGTGCAACACTGATACAGAGTCCCTGGACAAGCGCAGGTGTACATACTATTCGAACTTTCAGATGGAGAGGATAACCGAAGCATTTTACTGGGATCTTGAATGCGGGTCTCCGAAACGCAGCAGATACCGATAGCGATGCTTTCCAATGTTCTTACTAAACCCGCTTGTTGTCCAATTCGCATCAGTGTCCGAACATTGTAGGTGGCAAGCTTGAACGCGACACGCGGTTTCAGGATATCGCACTGGGGACAACCATTTTGAAGGCTATCCACTAACATCTCGAAACAGCACAGATACGCTGGCACTTCAGACAAAGGCTGACAAAAGTGAAAACGCCAAGGATAGCAAAAGTAAAACACAGGAGTCTTTGTATAAAAATAAAGTTGAAAAGAAATGCGTCGCTTGAAACATCAATAATGTTTGAGAGCATACAATTAATTTCACTGATACTTCGTTGTTTTATTTCATTGATTGTATGAGGGCTGAGATACTGCCTGGGAGCCCAAACCGAAGCAGGTGGTTGTCTTAGGGGACCACTCCCAGACCCATTAACTTGGAGTCTAATCCGCAAGGCAGCATCAGGAGCTACGTTCCTATGGTTGCCGGTGGCCAATACAGGTTCATACACCATTTGGTCACATTGAATTCCGGGGCCCATGTATCCCATAGAAACTGCTTCTAGTCCAACCACTATCCAAACAACCTTCCTGACATGGTATGACGTGAAGGGACACAAGTACCAGTCAGTTTAGCTTGTTGGGTCACTGTTGTATTCAACCCCGAGCACTACGACAGGGTAGCAGTTGTCGGCCGGGACTATTAGTTTTGTAATACTTCCCTGTGTCTCATATACGACTGCCAAAAAGTGGATCCCTTTTATTGATAAGAACATACCTAGTTGGAAGAATATAACTGAAATAAGAGGTTTCAGATAAAATTGCCTTACTAGATCATAGCTGGCTGATTTTCTCAATCACAATGAAGTGAACAATTAAACCCGATGGAAATTAAAATGCTGATACATTAACGGATTCGTTCTTAACACGCCAGGCATTAGACGTACTGCTCAGTCGAATATATATTTTTTAAAGACAGACGAACAACTTTGAGCTTTTATTTTCCCGCAATATATGATGAGGAATTAAAGTGGTGCTTAGTAGTAAAAGATAGTATAGCTGGTCAAAATTAAAATACAGAAAAAGCTACAGTATAAGCAAAGAGGAAATCATTTTATGTACAACGATCACTAATAAATAACTGAGAAATAGAGATATCAATTAATTTGTACCTAGATTTGTACACAAAATCTGACTAAGTCTTGGTTCTGGAGCATATTTTTGCCTAGGACGGCAAATATGATTAATCGTATATGCTTTATTTTTCGAATGCTTTGAACATATTTGAGGTTCTTGAAATCGTAATATAACTAATTTTGTAGGTTCCATACCAATTCGGCTGCCAGCAGCACATATTAAACGTTCTTCAGATGCAACTATACGCCAAATAACTCCACCACGTCCAGCTCCATCAAGTCTTAACAAATCCCGAATGTATGCACCAGACCGCTTATCCCAAAGCTTAACGGTACCGTCATCACCTGAGGATATGATGAAATTACGTGTTAACTGGACACAGGTAACAGCTGATTGATGTTTGTGAGGGCCTATTAACGTAAGAAGTACACAGTAAGAAAAGAATTTTTAAACAGTCTGTTTGAAAAAAAAAAACAGACAAGGCAAGCTATACCACGAACTTTAGTTAAATCACATAATCTGAAGTGGCGTGTCAAACCATAAGAATACAGCTAACTGGTAATTCCCAGGCAAACTGCATAGATTTTAGCAACCACATCTCACGGCACAGAACAATAAAACCAATAATTAAAACAAAAAGAAAGCATAGGCAGACAAACAAGTGATGGTAAATGCGATGATTTAGATTAAGATATAAGATAAATAAATCTCAGTCGTAATGAACGATTCAAAGACATATCAGATGTGTCACTAGCACACGCTGAGTAATGTTGACGTCATATGAAGAATGGTACGTAAAGCTTATCGGTCAGTTTCAGGGGTTGAAAGCTCTTACAGATTGAGCGATCCTTATGAGATCACTCTTTTGATAGAATAACAATTTTAGGTGGAGTAACATTAGGTTGGGAAAAAATGTAGGTAAGCTAACCAAAAACCATATCAAACTGCTGTGGCAATAGAGAACTGTGAAGTTCTAGGTGAGAATCTTCGACTTTGTGAGATTCAGCGGTTACAGATGCTCAATAACCATCTTTCATCACCTTCACAACTAACAAAAAGCAGTGAAAAAATCCCTTTGAAATTGTGGACATTTTCTTTATTGACTTGTAGTAATACAACTCTCTTTTTGAATGCTCTTTCGACGAGTAATATCCCAAAAGAATAAACTTCTACGAAAGTTCCATGCTGGTTTATCGATGCCGCTTAATATTTACGCAGTAATAGGTTAGGTAGACTGTACTTCCCTGCGCGACTTCGACTGACAATCAGTTACTACAGAAAATAGTAGCATTTCTTGATACGACCACTCTTAACATAGTTTTACCACAATTAACATAACTTTCCGCGAAAATACATACTTTTTTCACTATTGGATCGACAGTATAAGATGTGCTGCTAAGCTACCACTGGTAGACGGGAGTGGTATACAGACAGTCATCTCAGTCAGTGAATAGTATACAGTTTTATGAATTTATACTTGGTTTCTTGAATATCATCAAGCAGATCACATATTTTCATTTGAATAATTTCGGTTTCCAAATGAAACTACAGTGAAATATCACCGGAAAGTGGGTAAACTGAAAATTAATTCGCAAATTGCGAATGTGATTCATGGTGTAACCACTTCGCCCAAGCAAGCAGCTAGCCAGAAATAGGGTGATTTCGAGTGATTCAGATCTCTGAGCTAAGTTGAATCGGCTAACCCACCAATGAGCTCAGTATTAAACGAGCAAAATGGTCATCCCGTTTTTCGATCAATTTGACCTAACGTGAGTAGTATACAACTACTCATCTCAATCAACCAATCAATAGTATAGAGTTCTACGCATGCTGCTAAGCTATTCAAGCACACTCAACTCAATCACAAGTTCAGATTGATCCTGAAACATTTGAATAGCCTAGCAACATGCTTTATAACGTCAGCCAATTATTGGTAAACAAGAGCAGCGTCTACGGCAAGAATATCTTAATCATCTCTGCATAATAACATGAATCCATTTTTTTATTTCGTTGGTTCTCATTAGCTGCGTATAACCTATAATCTTTAGTAAAATAACTCAGTGTACAATTTTAACATACTTTTGTCTATTGACAGGCATATTGTAAGAGTCATGGTGAAATGAAATATCAGGATGATAAGTATCCGAAGGAGTACAGTGTACATATACGTATACCTTGGTTAAGGAGAAGTTTCTCGAAACATTAACTGACAAATCTGTTGTTAGGTTGATAACGAAAATTAGCATCAATTACGTAGTAAGGTAAGAGAAGATCGAAATTTCGAGTGTATTAGGTCAAGTGAAAAGATGATGATATAATACAGTGAGGAGAATTGACAAGGCCAAGAAAAATTATCTCGTATTAAAAGAATGGAGTTGAAATTAGGAAACAAAGCGTTACTAAGGAATGAGTCGTCAGAGTAATTGAAATCCAATGACAGATTCCATTTGAACACAAAGATCAGGCTTCAGCCGTTTTATTGTGATAGCCTCAGCAAACCGAAGCAGACTTGAGCTGTTTTGTCTGTTAATTATTTTGAGTGATTTCAGTGTGTCTACTCAGTGTTCTGTGTTTATCAGGTGTTTGGAGATCGAAGAGATGAAACTATTTGGCTCCTTTAACCGGCAGCTCCTTGTTACATGTTCGAAGATTATGACGTAGGCCCTTCTTTCTCTTCTTCCAATGTAAGTGCTCAAGGATATACATGTGAATTAGTGTACACAGTTGGAGGTAACATATGGTGGATATTTGTCCATCTCTGACTACATCAATGGAGAGTATGTTCGGAGCTGCAGGATACGTTCTGCACAGGGCTGTGCTCAATCTTTTATTTATTTTATGACTCTTATGATATCATCGTCTTTGAAGTCGAGTTCGATGAAAACCAGCTTCTTGTTGACCGTAGCTGCATCTAGTTTCTTGCGTTCAGTCTTGTCATATTTTTTGATGAAGCTTCGTGGGTAATGATTTTCTTTTAAGCAATTCTCACGCAACATTAGTTCACTGTCCAATTTGTCAGTTGAACATATTGTTTTCGCTCTAGAGAAAAGCGTTTTCACCAGCGTTCGTTTGTAACTGATTGGACAGAGGTTGTTGAACTTTAGGTAGAGACCGATCTATGTGTTCTCACGATTTATCGACTTATCGAATGTCCCATCTTTTCTCTCCAAGATGATATCTACGAAGTGGAATTCTGTCGTGAAATTGCTGAATAAGCCCAACAGAGATAGAAAGTGACCCAAATCCTTGCATACAATGATTGTGTCATCTAAGTATCTATAGTAGGCTGTTGTTTCATCAATTTCACACTTGAGCTTTGTTCTAGACTGGTTATACATATATATATATATATATATATATATATATATATAATCAATAGACAAAACAGCTCAAGTCTGCTTCGGTTTCCTCAGGCTATCGCAATAAAACGGCTGAAGCCTGATCTTTGTGTTCAAAAGGAATCTGTCATTGGATTTCAATTGCTCTGACGACTCATTTCTTAGTAACGCTTTGTTTCCTAATTTCAACTCCATTATTTTAATAAGAGATAATTTTTCTTGACCTTGTCAATTCTCTTCACTGTATTATATCATCATCTTTTCACTTGACCTCATGCACACCAATTATTTTATACAAAGCCAACTGTTAACTCTCAGTTAACAGTACACTTGAATTTAATTAACAAGGAAATTAATCAGTTGATAACATGTCCTGGAATTTATGCAAACACAAGATTATGAGTCGTTTGGAGGCTTTAAATATATATGTTACTGTTCAAAATCGGGATAAGTAACATGAAATAACGACAAATGAACTCTATACACATTCAGGAAAAAAACACCTGAGACTGATTTAGTGTGCAGAATGGGAAGAATTTACACTTACCAGCAAGAATATGTATGCACTTCCCAGTATGGATATGCCATACACGAATTGTTTCATCTGCATTACTTGAAACTAAAATATTCTGTTCAGAACCAAAAACCAATTCACTAGTCAATGAACGGTGACCATGAAATGTTTGCTCCAGAAGGCCTGTCTGTACATTCCATATACGTATAGTTGTATCCAGTGAACCACTGATGATATGATAACCGTCAAATAATAAGGTGTAAACACGATTTGTATGAGCACTAAATACACGCAAACAATGACCTTGTAGTGCACACCATAAACGAATTGTACAATCATAACTACCAGATACGATTTGATCACCTGTAAACTGGACACAACGTATAGCACCACGATGACCTTGGTGGAAGTGAAAAAAAAGGGACAAGGAATATTCTACGAATTGAATGCTGCATATAGAGCAAATAAAGTAGGTATAAAAACATTCAATGAAATACTCGTTAAATGAATGCCACTATAGTAACATATGAAGGGAAAGACAAGGTCGTGCAATTAAATCCACCTTTAGTTAGAACTCATTTACGGGGGACTTTTCACGTACCCGGCTATCAGCAACACTTACTGTGCGAAGTTTAGTAGTACTTATCAGTTGTCCAAGATGAAATAGGTGGAAAGGGATTCGAACCTAGGGCTGATTGGTTGAAAGGTCAGTGCTAAAGGAAGTCACCTACATTTTCACAACGAATCAAGCTTGACATACATTTTTCAACACTTTTTTTTCTTCACGTTCCCCAGTGGAAGTTTCTGTAGCAGTGTTTATTTTACAGGATGGGGTTGCTAGCCTCATGCCCAACCTTTCCTCTTTGCCAGCATTATTTCTGGCTCAGCAAGGTAAATGAGTGCGTCGGCCGGGGATCGGACCCCGGACCATGTGCATGGTCGGTGAGCGTCCTAACCGCTATACCACCGGCGCACTTTTTCAACACTACCTGTCTTTAAATAGTTTGCTACAATAAACTCTCGGAAAATGATGGCATATTTACTAAAAAATAGTACTACCAATTATAGCTGATCACTTACTTATCTGACACAACTCAAAGTATCTCGCTTGACTTATCAAAAATTTAATCTATAAGAACTAATGACATGCAAAAATTAAGTATAAGCTAACAACCACTGTAGACAAAATTCAAGGATCCTTGGGTTTTTCAACAGGTACATTGTCCTCATACAACTTGACTGAAGTTTACTAGAAAATCTAGATCATTAAATTTCAGCTCATGGGGCTACATCACCGGGACGCTTGACACTGTTTGATATGATCCTGTAAAAACAGTTGATATTCGCAGTTGAACAGTTCTAGCTTATAACGCAATAGCTGTTTGGGTAGCTTGTATTTCTAAAAATTAACGCATTGTCAACAAATTGTGGAAGAAATCATAGCTCGTCTTCTAACTATAAGCAGTAAATAAAGTTGGTGATGGAGGTGATGGATATTGGGCAGAAATCTAAATATGAAAATCGACAGTAAACGATATACATGTGTGGTTGACTGGAATGTTCACCTTAGTCATGTGATTACATGAGTAAAGTTTCCGAAATCACTGCTAAAATGTTGAAGCCTTCTAAAAGAAAGATATGTGACTCACAAAACCAACATGATCTCTTCACTCAATACCATTTAAAGCCAAAGGAAATAAAACTGATATTATTCACAAAGTGGAGTGCATAAACTGCAAGAAACATTAAATTTTCAAAATTGGACGTCCTCTTCATTTTCATATCCATGATCACAAAATAGCAGTCAAAAGACCTGAAATGCATCTCATCAATTTGAATGGGATAATATAACAATTTCAGACAAATGAAACACAAATAACGCCAGAGAATTTCTAGAGTCCTGGTACTACAGTCAATTACCAATTAAAAGACATGCTAATAAAGATCAAATTTAAGAGTCAACATAGAATAAGTCACTCAACCGAAAAGTAATATATGGGGTCATTAAGAAGATCAATATGAATGCAAGTTGAGACAACAACAAGGAAATTGACAGGGATAACCTATGACAGTCAATTTCACCGAGAAAAACAAGTACTTTATCTATGGAGAATTCCCAAAGCTCACTACACACTGAAGTGGGCACTGAGGATGCTGTCTGGGAGGACAATAAAAGTTCGCCATTAAACCACCTAGCTCAGAAGATATCAAAAACATTCATCAGAGATACAAAACTCCTCCATTATTTCACAAAGATTTTAATCAATCAGGGCATCAGCTCGTCATCTGAAAAACAGTCCCACATGACATGGGGAAAGAAGTCCAATAAAATAGAAGCTTTAGATCTTATGTAATGATATTTCTATATTATTAATGATCCACGAAAGCATATGACAACGTGAAATTATAACTATACGACAGGTTAATTGATTATAGGTCACCATGACAACTTAAAATACTATTAGATAAGTTGACAAAAATATATTCAGCCGTGGAATCAATACTTACCTAACCCCGACATCCACTACCCACACTGTTAGTTTGAACGACACAAACCACAAAAATATAAATAAAATACTAAGCTTTTAAAATCTCTTGTAAACAAAAATATAAGGATAGAAATATGCCTTTTATGTTTCCGTGCGGAAGACATTAATTACCTCGAAATTCTTGAACACATTCACCAGTTAACACATTCCATAAACGTAGAGTTGTATCACGGCTACCTGTAACAACTAAATGACTATTTTCAAAAGTCTCTTGTTTAAATATTTGCTCGCTTGAATCAGGTTTATTTGATGCTGAGCGGTTATTTATGAGATTAACATTTAAGTTTCCATAAGCATTATCACAATGATGGCCGTTATCATTACCGTCATTTCCTTTGTTAGCCGATATATTTGGTAGAATATATTCTTTTTCAGAAATATTATCCCCGATAATACTGAAATTATCAATGCCAACAAAAGCATCACCATTATTATCGTTTGGGCACACATCTGGACCAAGTGTACTAGGATTATTTTCACTGACGTTGCAATTACAATTGTGAGTATTGTTTAAAACAAATTTTGGAGCACAGCATGGTTTTTGGCTAGCTAAACATCGGACAGTTGACTGATGTCCAAACAATGTAGCTATGCAAGGCCAACGATGACCGTCTAATTGCCAAACACGTGCAGTTCGATCACAACTACCTGATATAAGTAGAGGATATTGATTGAACGGATGATAATCCTTTTTTGCTGGATAAAATTGACCCGGTATAACAGTCATTGACCAAACGCCACCGAGATGACCAAATAAGTTTATTAAACACTGGCCAGTATTTATATTCCATACACATATACTAGAATCATCTGATCCAGTGATCGCCCATTCTTCATAAACTTCTAAACAAGTAATAACATGATTCTACCACAAACAAAAGACAAAAATGCATTATTATTTCTTAGATGATTATTATTATTATACTTAAAAAACAAACACTAATATGATCACGTTAATGGAAGAAAATACATGAATCATATGAAAAGGTAATTTTTGTAGCTTAAAAATCCCCATTGAGTCATACGTTCAGCGAAGAGACTCTTTTCGGCGAATTCATTCACATAGCTGTACGATAGCATTTATATACAATTATTTGTGTGTGTGTGTGTGTGTACATGAGGTTTGTCAAGTTTAGATAATTGACCAGGTAATACAAGAATGATCTCATATAAAGAAACAAGCCTAATTAGACAGCAACTAAAGTAAGATTGAGTTAGTAAGTTAGATGACGTAATATAATTGACTAAAATGTTTCAACTAAGGTCAGGGTAGCAACAGAGGTAATTACAGGTAGAGACTAAGTAGAAGTGGGGTAGAGAATACTGCCATTTAAATTAGAACTGAAATTGAGCAAATAAGTTGGATGACGTAACATAAATGACTAGAAATTGAGCATTGGTCAAATCAGTAACAGTGGTAGTGAGGTGCAGAAATTAAATCGGGTGGGATAGAGAACAAGAAGGTTGAAAATGTAAAATATTACAATTGAGAAGACAAAATGATACTAAAGAAGAGACAGAAAAAAGGATTAGGTAGAATTTACTTGTCGCGTAATAAGATAGATTACGTCCATTGCAAGTGTAGTGATTGAACGAACTTCTTCTGCATGCAGAGTTCAGGACTTAGCAAGTGAATCACCATTGCTTCTGCAGTTTGAAGAAGTCTGATTCGTACACCTTTAGGAAGACTACTTCGTATTCTGTAGACGACTTTGAAGTTTGTTTGGGGTGTAGCTTGGTGTCCGGAATCTAGCAGATGTTCTAAGATGGAGCTGCGGGGGCATCGTTTTTCTCCTTTGTAAAACCCTGTTGGTAAGTGTTCGGTGATACATTTGGAAAGCGAAAGCTGGTTACGGCCGACATACCTGGCTCCACACGAGCAGGTGAATTGATAAATACACATTGATGAGGCCAGCAGTGGTAGCATATCCTTCACGTTCACACGAATCATAGGATTTTTGGAGAAGGTTAGTCGTAGTTCAGCTGCGAAGAAGGTCATCTTTTTAGTGAGCGCCACAGTCGATTTTTTAGTGTTTCCGCAGATATATCTCCATTGAATTGAAGGGTCATGTAGAGTAGTTTTTTTCGGGACGCTAAGCATAGTAATTGTCCAGAAAAGAATTTGATTTAGTAGTATGTCGACGGAAAAAGGTTTCAGGGAGTGCTATGAACTAGAACTAGTAGATATTGCCAAACCTTTAACAATCAGTAGTTGATAATAAAGAAGTAAAATGTTTGTATTCGTAGGTGTTGGTTATTCAACTCTCATAGTCCAAACTTAGTGTACGACACGAGAGACAGCTTATTGTGAATTTGTCGTAGCAGCATTTTTCACACAGTGAATATATTCTTCTCCTCAGCTTCCACCGTTCACTTCCTTTTATTACCTACGTAAATTTAACCCCCTCCCCAACTTTATATATTTTTTCATATTTCACTCCATTTGATGAACAAATAGTTTCAGTGTTCCATGCATAAAACGTAAGCGGGATCCTTTTGGTCTGAGTTCGTTTTGCGTTTCATTGTCTATCAGTTTCTTGTTTTAATAGTTCTCTAAGCTCCTTTGTGATTCGTCCCTCAACGTTTTCTGTTAAATCCTTTTTGCGACCATACTTTCTAAATCTGGTATCGTTTGGTACTTAATTCATCTTAGAAATGTAGTTTTCTATATTCATCGTAACAGCCTCCCGAACCCTTGTTGGGTTGAAGGATACCAAAGATTTTGTTGTTTCTTAATTCTCTTAAGGCTGATTGATGTTCTTGAGGGAGAAGTTTATATTGAATAAGTGTTAACACACATAATACTACTTCGAAATGTCCACTAATTTGGATTTTAACCAACCTTTTTTATTTTCGTCAAAGGGTTAGAGGAAGGCGAATTAATGAACTCAACTCTCAAAATGAGATGCTGCATCCGGCCTGCTGAAGATTTTGTTTACTACCTGCATCGAGTATGGAGATTATGGAGATATATTACACACACATGAACAGATCTAAAATATGCTTGATGAAACTTGGCTCTCTTAACAAACACTACCGTATTGAAGTGAAAGCCACAAAGCCCACCAACTTGACGCTAAGATTAACTAGTAGTAAAACAACTGTCAATCCTACATACTAATGTATCACCATTACTTTCATATTAGCGATGCGACAATAAAAACTATTATCGAAAACCTACAGTTTCCAAGAATCATTTACAACTAACGGAAGTATTACATCGTCATTTATCAACACAGTGCACCATAGTGCAATTAACTCACGTATCCACAGATATTCCGCCACTATACCACAGACAAAAAATATCAGTAGCGACACTATCACGAAATCTCACGAAAACTATACATCAACTGAAGCCGAAAGGTAACTGGTTACATACTATCACTCATTTCTAAATCACCAGCAACAATCAAGAACCCTCTACTCAGAGAAAGCCTACTCGAAAAGAACTTATCAGCAAGCTGTAGAATGCGATTGTACAGCTAAGTGAATGAATTCGCCGGGAAGAGACTCTTCACTGAACTTTGTTCTTATATTCATGTCTGGATGGGTATTTTCCGCAAACTTGTAGTTCTGATTGCATTGACTCAGAACTTGCCTTCCTAAAAGCCACACTTGCAGAAAACGGTTACCCGAACCGACTTATTGACAATAACATAAAAAGTAAGCAGTCTAAACTGGTCACCGACTCACTTCCAAAGAAAACCGTATTCATGAACTTGGAATTCAAAGGTGATCAAGCTGCAGATATGCCCAAAAAACGTCTCTCTAAATCAGTCAGTAAAACGTTCTTTGCTGCAAAATTACAAATGACTTTCACCAGCCGCAAGTTGTTCTCCATCTCTGTAAGAGATAAGCTCCCTCGTCTGACCGCCTCTATGAGCATTTATCAGTTCACCTGCTTTTGTGAAACAAGGTACGTTGGCCGTAGCCAGAGAATGCTTTCCACATGGATACGAGAACATATTCCAGCATGGTTTTACAAGGGAGAAAGGAAGGGTATGCGAAGCTCTATTCTAGAACACTTTATCGACTCCTGTTACTCTACAAACCCGGAACATGATTTTAAGATCATTTATCGGATCCATGCTAACTTGCCGCGTTTTCTTTGTTACAGACTTATAAAGACAGCGGAGGCCTTGGCCATTCATGAATTTAAGTCAGACCTTTGTGTTCAAAAGGAGTATGTACAATCCCTCCCTACTTCTGCCTCGGTCGTAGACGGATAGACATTTATTTATTTATGTTTTTTTATTTTGTTTATTTAGTTAATCCATGTGCCTTTACCTCACTACTACGATATTACTATGATTATTATCATCATTATTATTCTCCCTTTGAATTGTTTTCACTTGCCCTACTTGTCATTCTAAATCCAGAAATGTTTTTACAATACTGAATTCTATCTTATCAAATTTCACATCATGTTACGTAAAGTTTTCTATTAGCCTACTAACCCTATAATTATACACCCCTTTCCAACATCTATACATCTCATGAATTATTCTATATAAGGCATTAATTGTTTTGCTTCTTGACATTTAACTATGATTGTAATCACATACATTTTAACTGGATTTCATGCTATGATTATTTCACGTATTCACACCTTTGATTCAATTCGCTCACCGGATATGATTTCCTAAAAAGCCATATATAAACATTTCTACAGCTCTCTAATAAATGCGTTGAGAAGTCTTTTTGTTAACTATTGTGTTCTAAATAACATTTAGTGAGATAAACGTTTTAAAAGCATTTTGTTGAACTGGATTACCTAACTGGGATTTTAGTGCGGGAGGAATAATCTGTGTACACACACGTATCATTCCTTGGAGAAAGTTTATTGTTAACGCTTTTATTATCCAAAATGACGATAACCGCTGGTGATTAAGTAGAAATAATTTAATAAAAGATGAAGGACTTACGTGATGAGCTGGTGCAACAATTGGTTGCCATGGTCCACCGTTTCTCCAATTACATTGAGTATGCAAATCTTGACGATAGAAGGACTTCCAATTAACCTGTTTAATTAAAGACATAATCTAATTCAGAAACAACACATACAGTAAAGACGCAAAGGAAGAACATGTATGTAACTCAACGATTATTTAGTTGTCATGGGATGTGGATAGCAGATGAATTAGTGTTCATATTCATGATCCAATAGTTGGGAGTCTAGTGATTAACACGACGAACAACAAAAGGAAACGAACTGAATTTTCAAGTCTTTAAAAGAAAAGGTTTAAAGGAAAGATCAGTAGGTCTAGTTAATTAAAAGCCCCCTTTTAAGTCTTCAATATAATCATCTGCAACAAGTTGTTAAAGGGCGCTTTAAACAACCGAATGACGTCTGAATAAAGATATCTGAAGCTGGTCACTCGTTAGACTGACAATCGCTGGAGAGATGAACAGACAAAAAGGTATGCAAACACGTGTTGCACAGGATTGCAGTGAGAACGTACATCATCTTAGAAACACGCTCAGTGACAAAAAGATGGGATCTGTTTAATGATGATTCACTTGATGACACTATATCTAATATTACATCTTATCTGAAATTCTGTTTTGAAATCTGCTGTCCAAAAGCGACACTATTCGTCGAATTTGACCGTTTCTCCTCCCCTCAACTTGAAAAGCTTCTTAGAGAGAAGGAGAAACTATATAGAATGAAAGATAAAAGTGGTGTAAAAAGAACTAACTTCTTAATCAAGTCTGAAATGCAGAGATTAAATGTTATATGTAACCAGAAATTCATATCCTGCAAAAATGCTTCTAATATGTGGAAACTATTTAAGAAAATCACTGGTGGTAAGCAGATAAACAATATTCCGTATTCTTTTGATGTATGTACTCTTAATAAATCTTTTATTTACTCTCCCTCAGATGCCATGCTTTTCACCATCACTAGAGTTAATAATAGCCCCTTTCCAGGTTTTGACACAAATGATGTTCAAAAGTGCCTCAAGTCTCTGAACCCTTCCCAGAGCTTAGGTCCAGATTATGTACCTACTATTATTTTTTTAATGTTCTGATATTCTGTGTTACCCTCTCACTGATCTATTTAACAAATCTTTTTCCACTAATACTGTGCCTGCCATTTGGAAGGAGATTAAAGTTGTACCTATACCTAAATCATCTACTGGAGCATGCGTCAAATTTAGACCCATTGTTATTACCTCTCCTTTTTTGAAAACTATGGAGAAATTACTTTTCCTTAGTCTTGTACCTTCGCTTAAATCCTTTAATGACCCAAAACAATTTGCCTATAAGCACAGTAGAAGCACTTTAGATGCAGCTACCGTCTTATATCATAACATTGCTTCCAGCCTAGACAAAGGGGCTAAATTTGTTCGCTGTGCCTTCCTAGACTAAACATCTGCTTTTGACTCGGTCCCTAGGGATATCTTATCAAATAAACTTGCTGCAAGTCAAACGGAATGTTGGGCTGTTAACTGGTTACATTCCTATTTCTCAGAAAGAAAGCAGTACACCGTGTATAAAGGGAAGTCTTCCACTTCATTGCCTACGGAAGCTGGTGTCCCTCAAGGCGCTGTCCTTACTCCTTTTCTTTTTTCTTTCTTCTTACATGACTTGCCTCAGTTTAGTGAAATAAACTTTGTGAAGTACGCTGATGATTTATCTGTTTCAATGGCTGTTAACTCCCAGCTAGATTGTACCAAAAGAAATAGCTTTCTGTCGGGAGTCAGTAAATGGTCTGAGTCTAACGGTCTTAAACTGAATCCTTTTAAATGTCAAACTGTTAATTTCAGCTTCAGATGTAAACGACAGTTAAAAGACGCCGTCGATTCTCATGACAGTTGTAAGATTGATGACAATGATATAGGAATTAAATCAGAAATTAAGTATCTTGGACTCATTCTCTCTTCTGATCTCTCCTGATCTTCCCATGTCTTAGCGATCTCCAGTAAAATATTTCGCCTGACATTT